ATCTGTTCATAAGCATTTTAAGAAAGTTGCAGCTAGAGTTTTGATCAGTGTATTCTGTATTTTGAATGGTCGAGTTTGTCACTTTCAGTATTCTTTCGGAAAAGAATTATTAAATCTTAGCTGATGGGGGTTATCGTTATACTACAAGTAATCTCCATTTCTAAAGCACTTCCCAAAATTTTAAAGGGAAAAGAATTATTAAATCTCAGCTGATGGGGGTTGTCCTTATACTACAAGTAATGTCCATTTCTAAAGCACTTCCCAAAATTTTAAAGTCTTCAAGAGTATTAAAAAAAATTCACATGGTCCAAACTAGTTGTGTTTTTTTTTTTTTCCTGCAGAACAAGGCTAATGGAAGAGAAGGTACAAATGTAAAGCTATTTGAGTCTCTTAATGCCTTATCCACTCCTACTGCTGCTCTTCATTCTGTATGAGCCTTTTCCATCCAAATGAATTACAGACGATAATTTTGGGTGTTGTAATAAACAGATAGGCATCATAATAATGTATTTCAGTTAGGAAGAGGTACTTGGAAGAAATTGGTTTTGCAATACGCATGATGTGAGACAATCAATAGTGCTTTAGTCTGACAAGCACTGTCAATATCCATTGTCACAGTTCAGAAAGTCATTAATGAATAGTTCTTCAAAAACCAATGCTTTCAAGATGTTAGAAGTGTTCAGATATACTGTACCTGGCAGGAATTAATCATAGGTAAACTCTTGGGATTACATGTAAATGTTTTGTAAATTAAGAGTGAAATAAAAGTCAGTGGAAGGAATGTGAGATCATGTTATACGTGGAGTTACAAAATCTCTCCAATAAAATATGGAGCCGTTTAGAACATATTAAAACATTTTACTTTCTGAATCATTCAGGCTCTGCCCAGAACATCACACCCAGGAACACCATTCTGCTTGTTTTGCATCGTCTATCTACATGACTAAATTCACAGAACGTAACCACATAAAAACTTTGATCCTTGCCCTGAGAAGGTTAGAGTCTTGACTGGTTCTTTTAGTTGAGGCCGTGCCTAAGTTTGCTCTCATTGCATCATATATACTATTTAGTGCATTAAATTGTAGCAAGTGATTCTTCATCTGTACGTCTCAAAATTTCCATTGACTCTGATGGTACTGTTTCTGCAGAACTGTGTGATTTGGAGGTAACACGTTAATTCTTTCCTTCTACATGTCTTCCTGTGTAAAAACTCTTGTACAGACTTTATTTTGTGGTTTCACATGACACTCTTGTTGTTTATATGTTATTAGGAATACTACAGCTAGTGTGGTGGCATTAAGTATTCAGAAGATTTATATAGGCCCAAAAAATGACAGGTCAGTTTTTTCTTGGTGCAATATTTTTTTTCAGAGAATATAGCCTATAGTTATCCCTCCAAGTTCAGCTGATGTTATTACAGTGCTAAGCAACATTAAGGGCCAAAGATGTGTTCTTTCGTTTATGCCTAATGATGTGTTTATACTGTTTTCTTTTTGTACCCAATCTGTGCTGCGCTTCCTTAATGTGATGAGCTGTTGTGATTTAATCGATCTTAATTCTAGAGCAAATTGTCTGAGGAAAAGGTCTTGCCGTTTTTTTTTCATTAATCCTTTCATACCTTTTTCGTCCATGGAATAAACAGAGCCCTAACAAAGTGACCAAAGTAATCAGAAATGCTTTTTTAGATCTGAGGGTCCAACTTCATCTCCAGCCAAACATGAAAGTCTGCCAGTATTCAGATTACATTTTGCTGCTGGATTGAAGTGTCCACTAGCAGAAGAAATTTAGCATAATACTGGACTCTGTTTGGTTCCCCCTTATATGTACTGTAAAAGGTCCTGGTCCAACAGGAGCAAGCATGTGTTTCCTTTTTCTGTCTCAGAAGCTCTTAATGCAGTATAAGAAATACTTAATTGAAGAGACTGTGCAGAGGGATGGGAATTATCCTTCTGTTCTGTGTTGGTTTTAAAGCATTTATATGGATATGTCAGTGTAAGTAGCTTCAGAAATTGAGGATATGAGTTTATTCAGTGGAGTGAATCAGATGGCACACCTATGCAGTTTATGCCAGGGAACGTACAGTAGAACAAGCAGTAGATTTTATTTCCTATTATTTTATACTTCGGTCCTTGAGAGTCCTAATTTACTTCTGTATGGAACTGCTTTTTTATGTTGTTTGACATTTGCCAGCTCTCTTTCATGGAGGATTCTTCTGGCCAAACCCAGAACCTGAAATTTAAAAAGGAAGGTACTCCAAAAAACATGTATTGTGGTTTTTGAGTTTTATAACTACTTTTTTTTTTTTTTTTTTCTTTTGGAAGTAACGTTTGGTCCTCTTTGTATTTCCATATATAACAGCAAAGTCATTTTAATGTGGGGATATCGCGAGAAGAATGGTTTGGCTAGAGAATGAATATTTCTAAATGAGATCCCAACATGAATATTTCTGGCTAAGCTTGGCTTTGGAACGTGCTATCTAAACCCCTGCATTTCTGGGAGGCTTGGAGTTTCCCTTTGGTGACTCACACGCGTTTAATAAAATAAAGTAAGAAATTCATCAAAATTAGGTTTGCTGCCGCTTTTAACTATGTACTGTGCAGCTCAACATACAACACACAAAACTATCCATGACAATAATTATTCCTACCTCTAGATGTAGTTTTAACACCATAATTGCTGTTTCAGGTATAAAATTTCCAACTGGGTTAAAGCATCTTTCTAAACAGAGGGACTTTTACCCTGTTGTCAAGTCACAGATCCCCTATCCTACCTCTCACAGGATGACCAGTTCACTTCAGTCAGAATTTCTTAACAAACATGGTGTATGCTCAGAGCTAAGCACGCAGTCCAAGTGGGCATAAAATGCTTCAGAGTCCCACAGAATGGGAAATGTGGCAGGCATCTTAAGTGACTTAAGAGACGTTTTCACTCCTGCATCATTATTTATACCGAGGAAGCTTCACTGTCAGTCAGGAGCAAGCTAACCTAAATATGAATCGCTATGGACAGAATGACCCTAAGCAACAAGAGAGTCCCCAAACTAAATACAATTCACTTCACTGTTTCAAAGTACCATTAAGATGCAGAATTAGAAACATCCATTTGTTGTTCTTTTTATAGCACAGCCAAGCGACTTGGAATTTTAGCTTGTCCTTGCCAAGGATTGCTCAATTTTGAACAAAAAGTCCTCCGCTATAATGTTAAAAAAGCACCAACCATCAATTGAATGCTAATCTTTATATTCTATGATACATCACTCCAAGAATGCTACCATTAAAAAATGTGAATTCTATTTTTCATAAGTGATGGATTATTGTACCAAGCTGTGTATTTTCCAGTAAAACGTCCTTTTATTTGTCCTGTGTGATTACTAGTTTGTGGAAGTATGTGTGGGGTCATTTTAGTGCTGTGGGAAAATGGAGCACTCTTCTGTTAAAATCAGTAGTGAAATCAGAAGCAAACTATGCTCTGATCATCATAGGCATGTGTTTAAATGTTGCTTTCCTTAATTGGCTATGTTCTATTTACTTAAAATGAACAATTTGGCAAGTTTTTCTCCCTTGACAACAGCAAAGCGTAAACCATTTTATAAGTTTGGCTGTTAAAATCAGATTTGTAATGTAAACCACAATATTCCAGGGTTGTTACTGTTGCTTAACCAGTTATTTTAGCTTTCCATTGTTTTATAATTGTGCACCTTTAAACATTCTAGTTCTGTTTTTAACTTATTCAAAACTTCTTGCTACAAAATAGCCCAATAACATTGATAATAATTTTATTTGCGCTCACTCTCTTCCCTTGCATCCTCTATGTGAAGATCACTGCATTATTGGGGGAATTCAGTCTGGATGGAGAGGTTAGGGAGCATCTCTGTAACACAGATAATTTATCCAGTGTGCTATTTAGAGATTCTGTCGAAGGGACAATGGACCAACTTCTGCGTGTTCAACTTGTGGAGAATACTGTGTTTTGGAGGATTGATTGATTGATTGATTTTCAAGAAAAGATGGAAAGCTATTCTTTCCTCAGAAAGCAGAAGCCACTCTCTCAGCTGAGGTCCTTGCCAGGAAAGTCTATACAGCTCTGGCTGCCCCATGAGCCTGCTCAGCATCTGGGGGAACGGGCAGAGTGAGAGAGCTCAGGAGACAGGACAAGAGTGATTCAGGTGTGGTGAGCTCAGGTGATTTGTTAGAAAACTTTAAAAATCAGCTTGTTCAGGGAAACCTTTGGAGAAGGTCTTGCTGCTGCTTCTGGAGCGTGCTGAGTTTCTCCTTCCTACTGATACTGCCTAATTTGATAGCTATGGTGGTGCCCTGTAAGCACCTCAGCTGAGAAAAAGTTAAATTTATGCCTTTGAAACTTCCTCCAGGGGAATTTCTGCAGCTGGGTTCTATGTCTTTTTGACACAGAGCAGGAATAAATTGAGCTCAAAATGTTTCTCAGTTTGGTAAATGCCTAAATATAATAAAATATAATCGTTAGGATGGGAATACTTTTCTTTCCATAAATTAATGCATCTTGCACACATTTCATGGCATATAGCCATGTTTTCTATAACTGTATTAAATATATATATCTAACGCTCAGTCCATCTTGGCAAGAGAATTCAGTCCTTCACTAGTGGTGTAACCATCCATCCTTTCTGATAACAAGTAGTATATAGCTAATAGTGCATAGCACACTTTGAGTCCAGAGTTTTAGCTGAAAAATCATCCGTGTGAAACTTGTGGGATTCGTGAACATTTCATGAGTAAACTGGTTATCATCCAAATACTTACGGGCAATAAATAATACAACTCTGAGAATAACCAGCAGAGTGAACTCATCATAGTTATTCACAAAAGTATTAATCTGATGTTTTTCACCATCCAACCAGCTACACTGCTGACCTACCGCATGATTTTACTAGGGTGGCTATGGCCGTTATTTTCTAAGGATGTTTGAGCAAATTATTACTAGTTTTAAAATATCATTTCACTGAAGGTTTTTCTGTTGATTTCCTTTAGTTTTCAGACTGAACTACAGTGCCTCTGACACAAATGACAGGAACCGAGTGAAAAGCAGATTAAAGAAGTTCATCTCTCGAAGACCCTCCTTGAAAACATTGCAAGAAAAGGGACTTATTAAAGGTGTGTTCGGTCCTATATATATTTTTGGATTAAAAAGTAGAAATTCGCAAGTTAAATGGATAATTGCATCGGACAAATACTTCTCGGATATGGTTTCGTTGCTGTATCTCATAAAACTTACACTGGTGAACTCTAAAGAAAAAATCAACATACAGTTACACCTATCTCTCTGCTCTCTGACTACTGTGTCAAATTTTCTGCTTTGGTGTGCGTGTGGTAGAAGCCCCTCCATTTAACACAGTCACTCACCATGCAAATTGTAAATCAACATGCTACACAACTCCATTTCTTAAGAAAAGAATGTTGGTATAGTTTCATATTTTAGATTCCCATACAGGAACTTCAGATGCTATGATGACTAATTTATTTTCTAGGGTAGGCCAGAATACTCTCAGCTGACTTCTGTCATTATTTTTCTAACTCAGCAACAAAACTAATTTTTAACAATTTAAAATACGTACCAGTGAATAATAAACGCTTTGAATCTGTGATTTTTTCCTACTCCAATTTCTTGCTAAGTTGATCGGCCACCACTTTCACATATCCTTAGAAAAAAATGTTTCTTTGATAAAACGTGTTTGTTAGTTCATCCAAGGAGTAAGCGTTTTGCGAAGAAGCTGGTAGTTAACTTGAAGGAGGTAGCATTCTGACCACTAATAATTGAGTAAAGCCATGTTTTCAAATATTGTCTGGAATAACGCTTTAAAAATTTACGCACTCCCAAATTATTATGTGTGAAACCCACAACTGCACATGCAAATTGACTAGAAGGAGGCATTTTGCCAGCAGCTCCTGTCAATCTCTGGAGCGTGAGTTTTCCAGTGGTGTGTCAAAAATGGCAAGGGGTGTTGCTAGTGTGTATTAGACTTGTCTGTCCTGAGCCAAGAGGCTGACCTCAGCCAGCAAAAGCTAAAGCAGCCGCAAGAGTTAAAGACCAGCTGGGCCCATGTCTGAAGAGAAGGAGACGATTTTATGAATTAAGTTAGCAAAAATGTTCAGTGCAATGGTGCTAACTTTAAGGAAGGCTTCATTACATTAAATTACGTGCCTTAGTGACTTCTTAGGGCTTCTGCTTCCAACTGCGACAGAAACTTTAAAAAAAAAATCATTTATACATAAATATATGTGCGTGAGGTGTGCAAGCTCACAGACCAAACTTTCAGAATCTGTCCTTACACATTCGTTGTATCTGAGTTCAACACATGGGATGGTTTTGCCTCTTTGAAGTACTCAGTGGGTTGAGGGTGGGATTTGAATGCGTCATGTTAGTTTGTTTCAGTTATTGCAGTAATGCAGGAATAATTTATAGTCTTTTAATTTCTGGATTTAAGGGGTTTTTTTAGTTTAATAAAGTGTGGCTGATGAACCTCCTGCGGTGTTACACAGGGATCAGATGTGATCCCTGCTAACAAATCCAGATTCATTAGCATAATTCAAATCCATCCTCTAATATATCTCTCTAGGAAAGCCAGATGAATTTGGTTTTGGCTATCGTTGCATTAGGCTCTTGATTCATAAACACAGTTTGGTTCTACTTGGGATAGTCGCCCGCAGCTAACAAAGTTGCATGGTTTGTAACACAGTAATTCAGGATTGGTACCCGGCACAGTTTTATTACCAAACTAATGTTACCATGAAGAAAACATGTTAGTTATCTACCATGAAGTTTCATTAGGATTAGGTTTTGGCCATGCAAATGAGGCAGGATTCGTTAGCACAGCTTAATTCCGATCTACGGTAAGTCTATGTGAAATGCTCATTTGATAAGGTTCCTTCATTGTCTTCACCAGAGTTTATCCCTTAATCTGTTAAAATGTTATGAAAATTCAGTTGCAGTGCTTATACAGAGACCACTTTTAAATGTTAATTTTTAGGCTCACATTAGAATATTTTTAAATCACAAAATGCAACCGTCCAGATTAAAAACGAAAAGCTTGCCAAATTTTGTATTATAAGATGCATCTATTTATTCTTCTAAAGGTGACTTAAATGGCTGCAGAAACCTCTCAAAAATATTTATTTGCTCGTTTCTTAAGGGAAAAAATGTTGACCAATTTTTACAAGAAAAAATTCCTCTAGCTCTGAGAACATGCATACTAACTTTTATCCCGTAGGGAAATACTTCTGTCAGAATTGTAAATCCCTTAAAATAGGGGCTCGTAATAAAAGTGTGTCTAAAGCCTTGCAGGACACCTCGATACCAAATTTCTGACAAAGAGCTGTTCTGTGTGCTGGTGAAGAATTGATATAAATATCTGTGAAGCGTGTGGTGTTAATTACTCCAATGCAGTGGCACTGTAGGTGTTGTGAAAACCTTCACTTTTCATCAAGTGCTATTCATATTTGCCAGGGGCACTATAAAGCTCTCAAATCTATATTGATTTTTACATTGTATGTCACATTGGAACCAAAACTCCAATAAATTTAACACGTAAATTATAGTCATGAGTAAATACATTTTAAGGTGGTAAGTTCACTTAAACACAGTTCTGTGCGCTGTTAGTCACTGATGTGTATACACTTGGCCAGAAGACTCGACACATTTCTCTGCATTAACCAAATTTGGGAATGCAGGCTTCAAAATTAAATAGCAGTTTGATCTCCTGGGGTACTTTGTTCTGCCAACATTGTTATCAGAAAATCTAGAAATTATGTGATTGTCATTTAACTCTTAACAAAACTTCGTTTATGTAGGCCGTAGCAAATATCCGTGTGGTAAATAAAGTAGGTAGATAACCAATGAGAAGAAGAAGTAGGAGGATAATAATCAGACAGGGGAACGTAGCAGTCCAAAGTGTAAATGCTAGTTGCGTGTTGATCTGAAAATGAAGACGCGACAACACTTTGCATGACAAAAAGTTATTTTTGTCATCGCTGTCCCATTTGCTTTCTAGTCCTTTGCGTAAAAGAAGCCAGAATGGGAACAGCACATTGGCTCCATTCATTGCGACGGGCTGGTGACAGGGCTTTTCATGCTCCAGCGAGAGCTCTAATGAGGATCGTCAGTCCTTCTCGTTCCGTCTCACTCATGCTTGCAAAAAATGTCTTTGGTCTAGAAGCGTTTTGAATCGGTTTTGAGATGATGTGTAACACAGTATTTTTACGGGATACGTATGTGTCTATATGCACATGCATTCCTAGATATCCACACATGCACACGAACACAGAAACGGTAAATAAGAGGCATGTTCCATGCCTGCCATTTTAGCAGTGTTATTTCTAGAATAACTGTGTTCAAATTTATGTGCTGGGGCAGGGGTCCTCAGTTCCTTGGGACTGAAATATTCTCAGAATTTACAGAATCTGCACTAATATGCTAGAAAAATAATATATAAATCTTCTCTTTTAAAACTACTTTATAGTCTATAATTGAACTTTGATCCTTATGTTTGAGCTTTGTCATGATTTAATATTACCCAGAATGAATTGCCAACTTTCAACTTGATATTGGCCTGCTAACTTCCTGATTTCTGAGTCGGTTTCACCAAAAAAAAAGCAAAAAAAAAAACCTTCTGTGAAACTGTGATTTTAAAGCTATAGTGATTGTGTTGGTAGTAGACTATCACAAAATACACTTTCAGTAAATGGTAAAAAAGCATGAGTAACAACTTAACATAAATGACACTGTGGGAAAATGCAGTTATGCAGCTGGTAAGAAATTAATCTAGGTTTTTTGGGGGTGGATTTTTTTTCTCAAAACCTAGACACCGAAGGAACTTCAGTAAATATCTTTCTTAAGTTAAGACAAAGACCAAAACAGCATAAAAATTGGAATGGATACAACTGTTTCAAGACGAAAATAAAAGCCACTCAATTGCTAGTGAAAGGAACTAGCTGTGATTTGGCTTGATAGCCTATAGAACAGGGCTCAGCATATGTTGGTGGTTGTGCAGATAGCAGCATAGAGATTACCAACAATTTTAGTTCCAGACAAAAGAAAGAGTCTTTATTGTCTTACATGTCTCAATGGACCTTGCAGTGGTTCAATGTAATGAGTGTAAGTTTCAAAAGAAGACCAAAATATTAAAACCTAAGACTAAAATTAAAACACCTTTGGTGTGTTCTGTAATTCTTCTGGGTTATGCAGGAATTTAGCAAGTGATCTGGTGCCCATAATAACTTAGAGAAAGTTAGGAAGTGTTTCTTTCGACTTGCAATGATAGTGAGTCACAAGGATATTTCTTTCTTTGGCCACTACGTGGACATTTGGAAGTACGTTTCCTAAACCCTGTGGATGTCCAAACCCTGGACAAGGTGATATTTAACTTTGACATGACGGTCAGAAATAATTCAGATAGTTTTAAAATATCTCATTTATGGAGACCTGTTTTGAGGAGTACAGCAGACTCACTCTCTTTGAATTCAAATGAGCTCGTCCCCAGTAAAACATCATAATTTCTTAGAAGAGACCAATGTTTGCAGTATTTTGCCTTTTTCTGAGAATGTGAAACAAATCCTGTAGCTCATATGCCACTTAATAGTGACTGTTCACAAATGTAATTTTTTTTTAAATTGATGACCACCACAGATCAACGATATATAGTAAATCTCCAAGTTAAAAGGACTGGCAAGATTCCCAGCTAGCATAAATCAGGGGAGCTCCATTGACAACCTCGCTGACTTCAGTCAGCTGAGGACCTGGCCCACTTATTGTAAAAGTGTTGTGGCATTATTTGGAGCCCAGTCTGGGACCAGAATCATTTTAATGTCTGACTTAATATGTCTGACACTATGGATTGAGCAGCTTGAAAAAGTCACCTTTCAGAATATGGCCCTTTCCAGCCACTTCACTTCCCCCTCCAAAAGATTCACTGCTGTGGTGCCTCCTGTTCTGTCCCTCTCTCTGCACATTCCTCTTTCATTTTGCCTTTTTATTCTCTTTCCCCCTTTTCCCTCCCAACTTTCAAAGAGATAAAAAGAAAAGAACTAACTTAGATGTTGATATAAAGCTCTGGTAGTCCAGCAGTTCAACCCCAGATGTAGCAGAGTTAACTCTGTTCCTGGAAGGCACCGAATTACATAGATACAATTCACGTTTCTGAAAACTTGGGCGTTACACCATTATTCCTTCTCCGCTCGTGTCAGAATTTGAACGTCTCCCCAAGAAATGGGAATATTAGCCATCCACTTCCCTGTTTTTTTAATAAAAAACACTGAAGTATGAGTTCCTTCCAAGTGTGGCCACATCTCATCCATGTACACCAAACCCCAGTTAGACAATGACATTCTCAGTGAGGATGTGGCTTTAGTGATTTTGTTTTAATTGTTTCTTTTCCAGAAGTATTGTCTCCCATAGACTAGATTTCTGCAGCTCAGAATTAGTAGTTTTGCTGCAGCCTGTGAGAGCTACTCAAAAAAAAAAAAAAAAAAGTAGCTCTGTCAGGCTCAGGAAAAACCTGAAGCTCACCAGAACGAGCAATTCATTGCAGCTGTAATCATCATTTTATATTATACAACTTGTGAATGTCCATTCCCTCCTCTTCTGGTGTCTCATTTTATATCCATGTGCAAAGCTGTCACACACCCCACCATCTTAAATAGAAAGTTTAATGTGCAGATATCAGGGATGTGTAATGTAAACCATACCACCAAACATATTATGAATATATTGCTCTTCTTAAAAATGCTTGTTGGTTTTTCATACTACAGTATTGACTAACTGTCTGTGTTTGATGTATGGTTTACCAGCCTGATGTAGACTTATGGTTAGAGCTTAACTTGTTAGTTCTGCTTTTGCAGCCAATTCAGAATAACTACAGATGCCCCAAGATATTAAAATTGACTGCTCAAATGGACTCAGTGTGGGAGTTTCATTGGTTTTAAATTGATAACAGCTGAAAGAGTGAATGATTAAAGCTGTATATGGGCATAGTATGCAGCTCCTTTGTACAAGCTCTTGTGAACAGAATCCACTGTATGGGAATTGCCTTTGTTCTAATAAAAGATATTTCTGAACAATTGTTAGTTTAAATTTTTAAATGATGAAACAAGAGCATTTCAGGAGCCTTTAGAGGAAATAATTCCTGAGAAACTGGAATAACTCTGAGAAGATAAAGTGAATTTCTATTCAGAGGGGAGCATTTAAAGTTAAGTAGCATTCCATAAGGTGGTAATTGTGTCTATTTCCCAGGCATTTGAGTTAAATAAGCTGGATAGGAAACATAAACTGTCATAACAGGAGGTTAGGAGTGTTGTGTACATCTTTTTTTTTCCAAATCATAAAAAATTAAGTTTTGAAAGGCCTTATCACAAATAAATCAAACAAAGACTTTTTTTGCCCTTCTTTTATCCCTTTGGGAGCAGTTTTATTTATTGAAAAAATGTCCTGGCTAGTTTCCCCTTAAACTAGTTTTAAAAAATATATGTACACACCTATAAAAGAATAAGAAAATAATATTTTAATCTTAGTTGCACATAAATCTAGTTTAGAAAAGTTAGTAATTTGCCATTCTTATAATTCCTTGTTTTCAAAATACTGCAAAAACAAATCGTAACTGAGTTTTCCTCAACTATCCTGTGACCTCTAAAAGTGTAAATATGGCAGTGTAACTACTACCATTCCCATGTTTATGTACAGAAACAGATCCAGCAAAAAATCAATTGACTAGAAAGTCATGGAGTTTGTGGTTCAGAAGTACCCAGAATTCAGAGTATTTGGATGACTCATGAGATCGTGTACTTACAAACACTCACAAATATCTAGAAGGGGAAGAAAAAAATCCAAAGCAGTTGTGTATCATTGTTTTACCATAGCCTCTTTCGATGCCCAGCAACCATTACTGCTGATTTGCTGCCCCTTCCATTCAAGACAAAAATCCTGAGTGACAGCTTTCTAAAGAAGAGGTCTTTTAAAGCTTAACTGCAGGGTACAGAATGTGACTATATCAACACACTGAAAAGTATATAAAATAAGGTTAAACATTTTGCTGAAAATCTGCACCCAGAAAAGAAGTAATGGACCAACTGAGAATTGTGTAACTGTTTCCAGCCTTTTTAAAATATCCTCACAGGAATATCAGGTATTCTGCATTCATATTGGAGATTGAAAGAATAACTGCAAAATAATCCTGGTTATATAGTGGTTATAACAGAGAAAAGTGGCTGCTGCACACCCATGAATTAATTTTGTTTCGGTTCTTCATGTACTGCCATCTAAACACAGTGTAGTTCTTTGCTTGTTTTAATTCTGAGATTGTTTACAAGTGTCTTTGTCCACCAAATAAGATACATTTTTACTTCTTTTTAACATAATTTACAGTAGAGACCATTCCATATTATGCAAAGAATTTGACAGGTCTCTGCTAAAATTTTTACAAACAATTAAGATGTCAAAAGAGGAAGTGCTAGTACATTTTAATCATAAATCTCTGTATATATAATTACCACTGAAGGCAGCTATAAATGTTTTATGAAGAAAATGTAACCAGACTGTGCTTTGTCAGAAACATAACCCCAAAACATGTAACAGACTGTTCGCTAATGCTTAACGCCACACATGCACACAACCTTCTTCAGTGTAGTTCTGTGAACCCAGTCCTCCATCCCTTCTGCAGCCGAAACTCCGAGTAACTTAAAATCAGGCTTTGATGTACTCCACCGGAATGCAGATCACATGCATTGGGAAGTGCGGGAATAAACTTCCCTGCTACGTAGCAAGAAGTCCACACCACCCCAAACACCCCACCTTGTTTCCCTGATTGTTCTCTACTCTGCAGTACTAGGAAAGAAAAGGCAATTGAGCTGCTCTTGAAATCTAAGCTTAGTAAGAAATGGTGGCGATTAACAGTAGGAGAGCGAAGCTCCTTGCCGTGCAAAAAATAAGCAAATGATTTTTGGCTGTTAGTGAGAAAAAGGTGCGCTGCTTGGAGGAAGAAGCACCCAAACTGATTACGGTGGAAGATGGTGGGACTGACTATGGAGCAAACACCCAGTGCCTTGGGAGCTGTAGAGGACACAAGAGCTCCTGCTGTTCCCCAAGTGAGCATGCTTGTTGGGTTTGCTGTGCAGAGCCCCGGTGTGTGTTACCACCCTTCAGCCATCTATACAAATATTTTCAAAGCCTCTACGCCAATTTCCGAAATGTAGTACTCTGCTGGAATGCTATATGGAGACTGTCTCTTTGGATAAATGATGATAGTACACTCTTATTGTTTGAGCATTTAGCTGGCTCCTATTGAGTAGTTTCCCTCATTTATTTGATTCATTTTAATTCTAGCTGACAGCGTCCCCATTACTGATTGCTCTTTTCATAATTTCTCAAACTTATAGAGTGGAAATGAGGTGGAGGAAGCCAATTAGTAATGTGAAAAGTTTAGCCTTCTTATACAAATATGTTTTAAGATCAACATGCAAAGCTGATCAAAACTTTAACATCATAAAATCTAAAAGGTAGCGTTACCTAATTAAATGATTATTCATCAAAGAGACAACCCAAATCACAAACTAAACTTGGTGTGAGATGCAATCCTCATCAAAAGATATCTAGTACCTTCTATTTTTTTTAAGCAGATAATTTGATGGTAATAAACCCCACACCTCTTGTGAAGATGAGATGCAATTATACAAAGCCCTAATAACGTGAAGTAATTAAGCCCCTGCACCCCTATGGTAGTCTATGTCAGGAGTGAAACTCTATGTTTGGAAGAGAGAGGTTACCCAACAGAATGAGCTTCAAGGTTGAGCCAACAGTTAATATCACGTAGGATTTTGGATTCAACAAGATATGGAGCTGTATCTCTAGAATGGCCTTCACTTTTTTATGGCAGGTCCAAGAAAACTCCAGAGATGTCCAAGCCTTAGAAATCCCACTACTAATAATACGCCTTAATGTATTTTCCTCTTTTTTTTTCCCAATGTAGATCAAATTTTTGGCTCCCATTTGCACTTGGTTTGTGAACACGAGAAATCTACAGTCCCCCAGTTTGTAAAACTGTGTATAAAAGCTGTTGAAAAAAGAGGTGAGTACCTTAACGTTTAACACTATTTGCCTTTTTTTTTTTTTTTCGCCTCTACGAGTAACCAAAATTTTAACCTTGTAACTCTGTTCAAATTGTCAGGGTAGGCAGGCCGTTCGATTTATAATACAGTTATGAACTGAACTGTATCACGTTCTGTATCTTCATTTTCTTTATATGATAAGACATTACTAGAACCCATTCATGGTGATTATTCCTTATATTTTGTTTGACATGTTGTTGTTTTAGTCTTTTTCTGGGAAGTAAATGCTAAACATCAATAAATGTCAGTAACTTTCATTCTGAAGTCTCTGGTGAATGTGATGCCAATACTTTTTCCTAGGTCCTGAATTGTATTCAACCAAAATAAATGTTATCCTAGTGTGACCAGTTTTTTTTAAATGCATGCAGGTGTCTAATTTCTACAGTTATTTTAAAAAGGCATAGTATTGTAAGAGTATTGGAATGAGTATTCATCCTCATTAAAAGTTTTGATTAATAAGAAAGATTTTCATAGTATAAAAAAGATGTGTTTAACACCGTTGCCTGCCTTCCTTTCTGCAGAGTGTATCTTCTCTCATTGAAGGTCATTTTCTTTGGAAGGTACATGCGGTAGATGCAGAATCTTAAAATGTATTGTATAAAAATGTGAGGCTTCATCACCATCTGTTACAAGTTTACAACTTGTTCCAGGGATCTGGGGAAACATATATCTTGCAAAAGATAGAAAATTTATTTTCAGAATAAGGCTGGGTGAACCCATTGTCACTGCCATATACTGGAGTCTCAGAACAAGAGAACCAATGAAAAATAAAAAGATGCTTAGACCGTTAACCACAAAGGAAAAAGCTATTTTAATTCCATCATTGTTACCTGGTTTTATAGTGAAAGGTGCAATAAAACTACCCTGGAGTTTCAAACTCTGGGAAATTCATGCTTTAATTATACAGCAAAGAGAGCACTGGGATATTATTGTTCCCAGAATGATTGGCAGGAAGTCAGAGACGAACAAACTGGAGATCGTTCAGTAGGGGGAGATAGTAGCATTGGTTTTTTGGAGGAAGGCTGGAGGCTGGATAAAGAAAGAGACAAAGAAAGGGAAGAAATGTGTGGAGAGACTATTAATAGAGGAGGAATTGTGAGGAGAAATTCAGACCATCAAAAGGAAAGGCAGGGATTAGATGATAAAAATGCCACGCCGTGCAGAACATGTCTAATTGACCATTCAGTTATGAACCTAGCACAGGTTCTCCAAAACGTGCACTAGATATTTCATGGATGCTTTCTGGTATCTGACCACTCCTCCAGGAGAAGTGAGGCCAGAGGTCTCTGCACTGCTGAACTGTAACAGAAAAATCCAAGAAACCTAATTAGGTGTTTATTGTCTATTGTCTGTGTGATTATCAGAGAAATGTTCGCAGAAGAAAATGAAAGTATCACTGCTTCTTCAAAGGAGTTCGTCCTTCAGAGTATTGCATTATTGTCTTTGTTTCCTACAAACTTGCTGTGACTTAGAGAAGTCTACCCCTTTTAGTTAGTCTAATATGTAAATAAAAGCTAATCATATGGCATGAGATAAAAATTTCATTTTATCACTGTATTTATGAGTTTATATTTGATATATGTTTTTTTCTATTATCATTCTCTTGGATTAAGATGCTTGCATTTACTCACATTCTATTTACTCAAAGTGTTGTTTTTACTAACTTCTGGCATAAACTATCTCAGGACAGCAGTAATTTATGTGAAGCTAAGTCCAATGTTTATGCAAGCTTCTGATGACATTTTATACCGGGGTTGGTATTAGGAAGCAGTATGTGGAGGTGCCAAGTCTCCCGGCATGGCTGAGACTCAACAGATCTGAAGCCCTCCTCTTAATGGCCAGATATGCCTCCAGCCAAGATACTCAACTGCAGAGTCATGGGAAATACTTATGTACCAATTATGGGAAAGGCACATTTAATGAAAACTGTATGTTTACTTTCATAGTCTTAGTAAGATGGCCTAGATACTCAGTACAGCTGGCATATTGGCTGTTGTAGAAAAGATTTTTTTTTCCTATTTAGAAAAATGTATCATCTACATACTGTAACTGTACCAAAAATGTTACTTGCGTGCTTCATTTGAGATAAAGGATTACCAGGAAAAAAGACCTTAAGAGACTAACCCTAAATGTTGCTTACAAAATATTCATACCTTGCTGAACAGTTGTGTTCTTCTTTATCAGCTCGTGGGTTTAACTATTATTTACCTGTTGATTTTCTATTTGTTTTTCTGATTTTTAGAACATTATCACAGTGCACAGAAAAAAATGTCTTGCAGTGATCTGAATAAAGCATATTAATTAGTACATTCTCCTGTGTAGATGAGGTTACATACAATAGCCAACTGTAGTAATATTCTCCCACAGATTAAAAATGTAGAGGGTGTCATTAACTGTTGGCAAGATTTCCCTTTTAGTTACACTATTTATAAATTAATATCTACATTGAAGTCAAAGGAATTATTCTGAAGTTATGTTGCTGCAACTTAGATCCGATTTTGGTCATTATCCCCTAGGCTACTGTTTGCTTGCTTACCATTTCAGGACAGAGGTGCTTTATGAGGTTTGGTCTAAAAATTCTCACACCATAATGCATATTTTTCTATGTGACAGGGATTCACTCGTTCGAGAGTGAGCTCCATTTTTTCAGCTTCTTTTGCTATTCGCTGCTATTGAAATAGAACTGGGAATCAGGGTCTTTCTACATTTACTCAGCCATCTTGCAGAGCTGGTAGAGGAGTTTAACAGAAAAATTCAATAAAAATGTGCCCATTCTTGTAAACTTGCAAGGAAATTTTCACTTTTTTTTTTTTTTCAAAGCAAGCTCCATTTTTTTCCTTCATTCTTCCTGTGCTATTTATTCATTCATCATTTTTGATGAACTACTTGTTCCAAGTATTTAGCTATACAGACCTGTGCTGTTGAAGTCAATAGTACCTAGGCAAAGAGTGTTGCATCCTTAGTATCTAATGCAATATCCTAAAACAGAAAAAACTCCTGTGTATGTGATGTGAGGAGAAGAGAATAAATCTGAACCGTGCAATGATGAGACTGAAGAAACACAGTGGCTACCAAAAGGTTTCTAACATTTCTTAACATTCTGCTTTCTCAGTGACTTGGAGGGAAAGTTTTTCACGGAACTGTGTATTCCTTGTTTTTTTTCCCGTGTAGTCTTCTACTTTGCCATCAACACCCACCTTGGATATACCTCAGGCTTTTCTGGGGCTATCTGTTGACCTGACTTTTTCAATCGGTATTCCATGCTTTTTCTTGTCCCTAGAAAGTGTCTGATAGGTAGCCCCAACCCTGAGCTGAGCGGTGCAGCAAGGAAAGCCTGGGACAATCCTCCCAATGTGCTATAACTCACATGCTATGTGCTCCTGCCAAGGGTGGGGCCCATTGCAAGATTTTGGGTGTTTCTAGGCCAGATATTATTTCCAGTCATTTCTTGAGTTGCCTATTTATTTTGTTATCCATGACCCTTTAAAAGCCCTGGCTTTTGCTTTTTTTTTTTTTTAAAATACGTGAAAGGCATGAGCAGAACGCATAAAAAAATAATAATAATAAAAAAATCAGTCTGCATTGTACCTAAACAAAATGCCATGCAGTACATCTCATAGTTACGTTTTATTGTGTGAAAACAGTCTGATGCTAAACTCTTTTCCAGGGATGATAGTTTGTCTCTGTGTCTAATGACAAAGTAAATGAACACCACAAGCAGTCAGTATCCTAAACCTATCGGGGGTATCCAGTGTAGTTGAGGTTTTGTAAAGAAATACAGTACTAATGCTCTAGGGAAATGTAGTTTAACTTTCATCCTCCTTTTGAAACGTCCTTCATTTTCTCCCTCCATTCCCAAATCCAAGTTAGTGTTCTCAAATCAGCCTAAATGACTTGAAAAATGACACTGCAGGCAGCAAAGCTGATGATTACAGGTACCGTTTCCATTCTAAACTGGACATTGCAGACATTGTTTTCTGTTGCTTTTCTTGGAGCACAGGATGCTCTGACAGGAATGATACACAAAATTACATATTTGATTCCATGCCTAAAAGCCACCCTGGGATCCATAACCGTGCTTAAAGATTTAAGAAAGACCTTTAGTCCACTTCTGAGAAGGTTCTTAGCTTAGAAAACTTTATCTTTCAACTTTACTTCTTAGCAGCTGTTATGTTTTTTTGCTGTCGTTTGTTTGACAGGATCCAGTTATAGGTTCCGATGTCTGTTTAAAGAAACAGGGAGGTTGTTGGCTTTAAAATTCCCTTACTGCTTGTGTGTTCAACATTTTCCCAGGCTTTTCTACATAGTTTGCCAAGTAAAGGGACTGACCTTTTGTAGCAAACACTTTTTCATTTCTAAATGCTCACTTTGATTTTTGTCCCATTTTATGCTCATTCCAAACTGTTTACAACCCACTAAAAATGACTGTGAATTATATGTTTGTGTAATGGATTCCTTTTGTGGTCGGAGTGGAATGTTTACTTTGAACAATTAGTTATCTTTGGGCAGATTATAGTGACCTGAAAAAAGAATGGCTAAAATGATTGTAGTACCTTAACTATTTCCTTTTGTTATCTTCTCTGTTTGACCAATGTATTATTTACTGGGTTTCATTCCTCTGAGCCCCAGTGAACAAATCATGTTAAATAAGACCACAAAAAATCCCTGAATGTAGGGCTCCTGGTTTGGGGGGGCTGATCTGCTGGGGTAGGACTGGGTACGCTAGCGAGGCTTCAGAAGTGACAATTAGGCACTTAGAGGCTGGGTGTGCAATTTTAAGAAGACATAGTTTTGAAAGAAGATTTAAGCACTTGTTCTCTGAAAATCAGATTTCTCAAAGGTGTCCAAAGTTTGACACCCCGAAAGCACCTGAAATCAAGACTCAGTTTGGCTTTAATGTCCATAGCTGCAATTTCATTGCAGAAATGCATGTGCGTAAAGTCTCGTACCGCAGAATATT